ATTTTGCTCCTGGAGCTGCTTCTTCAAAGCAACAAGAGCTTTACTGGTTTCACTACTGCCAAGAGCGCCTGAAAATCCCTGGGAGACTGACCCAGCAATGGCCCCATCCCCTTGCTTTGCATGCTCCTGTTGCAATGCTTTACCAGGCCTCTGTTTCTGCTCCTGCGTCCCCTTCTCGTTATTTTGGCCTTTGTTCTGTGGCTGCTGATCCTTGCCCAGATCTATTAATTCTTGGCTCCCAGAGTGCTTCTGTTTGTGCTTACTCTGCTTCTGCTGCTTTTTTCGGTGGTGTTGCAGCATCTGCTCATCTCGTGCACTCCGAGCAAGCGCATGGCTTGAGCCATTGCCTTGACTGGTGCTGCCATTTGCAGCACCCTCTGCCCCTTGGCTGCTACTGCTGCTGCTTATCCCACTGCTCTGACTCATACTGCTGCTGGTGCTGCTGCTGTCTCTATTGCTTCCTCCGATGTCTCTAGAAGCTTCCGAAAGCGAAGACGGCCCGCCAGCAGCCTCTCCCCCTTGTGTTGTTGCCAGATGTGCCTGCAGCTGTTCTCGCAAACTCAACGGGTGTAAGGAGGCTTCCTGTGCTGTGCTGGGGGTTCGCTTGCTCCTGGTCGTGTGCTTGGTGGGAATGGGTGAGCTGGTGGGACTAGGGGGCTGTGAGGAGGAAGATGAGGAACTGTTGAAGGCAGAGGAGGAGGAGGAGGAGGAGGAGGAGGAGGAGGAGGAGGAGGAGGAGGAGAGAGAGGAGGAGGAGGAGAGAGAGGTGGTGGAAGAGGAGGGGGAAGAGGGAGAGGAGCGAGTGGTGTCTGATGCGGTCTTGTCATACTTGACCTGGTATTTTGCATGAGCAAGAAAAGGGAGCAGAGAGAAAGGGGTATGCTTAGGTGCGTGAGGGCCATCTGATATGCCGTCACACTTAAGTTGGGCCCAGAAGACCCTGACGGGCCGCCTGAAGGAGCTGAAGCTGAATAGTAGGGGCACAACTCACAATGTACTCGAAATAGCAGGGGTATTACTCACAATGTACTTAAGGTAGTAAGGATCATCCTCTGCTGCTGATCTCCGCATGGCCAGGAGCCTTTGAAGAGTCGTCTGGGGGAGCTGAAGCTGAATAGTAGGGGTACTACCCACAATGTACTCAGAATAGCAGGGGTATCACTCACATTGTACTTAAAGTAGTAAGGGTCATCCTATGCTGCTGATCTCCTCATGGCCAGAAGAGCATGAAGAGTCGCCTGAGGGGAGCTGATGCTGAGCAATAGGGGTACTACTCACAATGTACTCCAAATTCTGGGGTATTACTCACAATGTAATTTAGGTAGTAGGGGTCATCCTCGGCTGCTGATCTCCGCATGGCCAGAAGCCCCTGAAGAGTCTCCTGAGGCAGTTGATGCTCCAGCAGACTGCGCTTGTACGTGCTGGTATGGTGAGAGGGGTGGGATGGAGAGTGGAAGGGGTTAGGGAGAAGAAGCGAAAAGTATAATGGGTCGCCTGAGGCAGTTGATGCTCCAGCAGACTGCGCTTGTACGTGCTGGAAGGTGGGGAAGGGACGGGATTATGTTAGGGGAAGAGAGGGAACAGATTAGTGGAGCAGAGGGAAAGTCCTGAAGGCTCGCTTTTGTACGTGCTGGTACAGTGAGAAGGGAAGGTATAAGGAAGGGAGGGAAGAGAAAGAGATGGGGTTGGAGGAGGAAGGGAATGCACTAAGTCAGCGCGATCTGATTCCCGAGAAGTATCCGCAAGTAGGTTATTTGAGTTGTCAGAAAAAGAGATTGGCTGCAGGAGCTGATGCTCGTCTCGAGCGGTATCCGCAAGTAGGAGCTGTGGTGCGGACGAGAAGGGAAGGGGGGGAGGGGGAATCACAAGCAGAGAAGGAAGGGGCGAAGGGCTAAAGGGATGCGCTCTTTGAAGGGCAATTGACGGAGCTCGGGAGGGATATGAGAGCGAGAGGAGTGGCAGGAAGGAGAGGAAGCGGGGGGGAAAGGGAGGAGAGGAGGGCACATACTCGGCACTCTGTAGGGCTTCGTTTGGATCCCTGCGAGCGTCCCTCAACTGCCGTAGGAGAGGAGGGACAGGAGGAAGAGACGAAAGTATGGAAGGAGATGAAATTAGAGAAAAAAAGAGGAAATAAATCCTGTACGCACATGGGCAAGATTAGATAAATATGTTCTTCTCCCTGAGGTTTGGGAGGAGAGAAGCAGCACAACGCTCTGCCTATCACATGTGATTGGATGCTCTGACACATGGACACATGGACACATGGACACATGGACACATGGACTACAAAGGTAATGACTGCACAAGCCAGATGGATTACATGGAATTGCTTCTCGTGTAGCAAGCTTTGAGAATTATTTTAATTATCTTCTTAGCAAAGAGTGCATGTTCTGGCCGGCTTAGGTTGACATGAGGAGGTGAAGCTGCATGCATAAAGACCAGGCATGCCTCCTGTGTGAACATATGGTGTCTTGAGATTAAAGGAAAAAAAAAATGTTAAAGAAATGGGGTGTTTTTTGAGAAAAGGTGAGGCTGCATGAATGAAGGAGAGTCATACCTCCTGTATAAAAGCGGTTGAGCTCTTGACATAGCCACCCTGAAAAAATGCAGCATGAAAGGAATTGCGACAAGCGGGGGTGGGGTTTGGGGGAGTGGGGGAACGAGGGGGGGGTTGAGTTCTTGATGTTACAAGCACAGCAAGCTACATCCACTCGGTGTAACACAACCCCCCGTTCCTTCTACCCTGCTACTCCGCACGATGGAACGACCAGGGTGAAGAGGCAGGGAGTGAGTGGGGATTGATAGACGGTGCCAGTACTTCCCATCCCCCCAATTCCCTTCACCCCACCAACACCCCCCGACTACACCCAACTACCTCCAACTCCCCTTCAACTACCCCCAACTACCTCCAACTCCCCTTCAACTACCCCCAACTACCTCCAACTCCCCTTCAACTACCCCCAACTGCCTCCAACTCCCCTTCAACTACCCCCAACTGCCTCCAACTCCCCTTCAACTACCCCCAACTGCCTCCAACTCCCCTTCAACTACCCCCAACTGCCTCCAACTCCCCTTCAACTACCCCCAACTCCTCACCCTGGAGAGAACAGCCAGTTTCAGCTGAACATCTGATGTGATCACGGTGATGTACGGTGCAGTGCGGTGCTGCATGAGACTGGATACCTGGCGAAGTGAGGGAAGGGAGGAGAACAATAAAAGGCGACAGAGAATGAAAAGTGAGGAAGTAGGGACGACAAGGGAAATGTGGATGCGAGAAGGTGCGGGAAGTTTCAGCCAACGACGGTGAGTTTGCTGAGGTGAAAGGGTTTGGAATCACTTTTGAGCATTGTTTGCCGAGGCGAAAAGGTTTGGTTTGCTGATGCGAAGTGAGTTTGCTAGGCGTAGCATGAACCATGCCAAGCCATCCCATACCACGTCATGCCATGCCATATCATACCATGCCATGCTAAGGCATGACATGATGACATGCATGATGAAAAACGGCTGTTTTACGTTGCCCATCGACCCTGTCGACTTTCTTTGAGATGGATTCTTTAACGCATAGAGAAGCATCAGCTGGCGCGGATTGGTTTGACGAAAACGACTCCCAACTGCCTATTTTTCGCCTATTTTCGCTTATTTTCCTAGTGTGCGCGTGATACCACGCACTGACCTCCTTCTCAATCCATTCGTCTGCTGAGATGCCATTGGAGAATGCCACGTCCACACTGCCACCTCAGCACATCGAGAAGGACACATCAGCACATGGAAACTGTAAATGGGTAAGTAGATGTTCAATTGAAAGAAAAAAACAGATTAGTGAGGTGCATGCCCGGATGAACGCATGCAACACGTAGTGGTGGCGTGTTCGAGACATCTCAAGAACACTCTTATTTCACATGATGCGCATGCATAAAATAAGATCATGCAACACGCAGTGGCGGCATTTTTTAGGTGAATGGAGATACATGTAGTGAACAGGCAATGCAGAGAGGATGAGTGAGCACAGTGTGACGGGATCTACTTATGGGGTGCATCATAGTTTCTGCATGTGCTGGGATACAAAGTGATGTGCATGGCATGGCATGGGATGGACTGAGGTGGTATGCGATGCGATGCGATGGGAAATGGATGGTATGGGATTGCATGAAACGGCATGGAGTAGAGTAGAATGACATAGCATGGCATTGCAGATAATGGCATGGCATGGCATGGCATGCTCTGGGAAGGCATGGTATGGGATGGCATAGCATGCCATGGCATGCATGGCATGGTACGGGATTGCACGTTATGGGATAAGGTAAATATGCTGGTTACAGGAAACATACCCATGCTACCAGATACAGAAACGTAAACACATGGTGCATACATACATACCCATATGACAAGATGCGGTCGTTACCAGGGCTATTGGAATTGTAACCATCGAAAACCACCAGAACCCGCACATCTGCACAGGTTGGGATGTGAAGGAGAAATGGTGGCTAGAAGGTGTGAGAGAGTTGAATAAACTCAAAGCCTACATAGTCGAATAAAAATAGTTGAATAAACTCGGAAAAAAAACCATGGGCATGGCAGCACTTCATGCAGTCTCTCGCCTGCTCTAAATTCTCTGATCTCCGAGTTCCCTCTATTTTTCTTCAAGTGCCGACTGAAAAAGCACCCCCCTGCAACATCAACACCTACCAGCGTATCGCGGGTACGGAAGCACTTCCAGCAGCAGCCTCTCTCTCGCCTCCTCTAAGTCGCCCCGCAGAAAGCACCTACCACCAAGCAACATCCACCAGCAATAACACCTACCAGCGTATCGCAGGTACGGCAGCACTTCCAGCAGCAGACTCTCCCTCGCCTCATTAGAGAAACAACTCTTATTTACCCCGAACAACACCCACCAGCAGCAACAGCATCCAGTACCCTACCAGCGTATCGGGGGTACGGCAGCACTTCCAGCAGCAGCCTCTCTCTCGCCTCCTCCAAGTCGCCTCGCAGAAACGGCTTCTTCAGCTTGGGCCAGCTGCCCACCACGTTGTACCCGTCAACGAGCACGAGGGGCAGGGCGTCTGTGGAGCTGCGGATGGGCGCGGATGATAGGGCGGGCATGAAGGAAGAGAGACAATCTGCTTCAGCTTGGGCCAGCTGCCCACCACGTTGTACTCGTCCACTAGAACTAACGGTAATGCGTCTGTGGAGCTGGGGCGGTGATGGAATATGCATGGGGAAACATGAGGTAGGAGCGATGAGACGGCTTCTTCAGCTTGGGCCAGCTGCCCACCACGTTGTACCCGTCCACCAATACTAGAGGCAACGCATCTGTGGAGCTGGCAGCGGGTCAAGGATGGAGAGTGTGTGGGGAGGAGGGTTGCGGGCCATGGCCTGGCACTTCCTTCAGCTTGGGCCAGCTGCTCACCACGTTGTACCCGTCCACCAATACCAGAGGCAAGGCGTCCGTGGAGCTGCGGATGGGCGGGGATGATAGGGCGGGCATGAAGGAAGAGAGACAATCTGCTTCAGCTTCGGCCAGCTGCCCACCACGTTGTACCCGTCCACTAGAACTAACGGTAATGCGTCTGTGGTGATGGAATATGCATGGGGAAACATGAGGTAGGAGGGATGGAACGGCTTCTTCAGCTTCGGCCAGCTGCCCACCACATTGTACCCGTCCACCAATACCAGAGGCAGGGGCCAGGGCGTCAGTAGAGAAGGAAAAACAAGGGAATATGCACGGGGCAACATGAGGTAGGAGGGATGAAACGGCTTCTTCAGCTTGGGCCAGCTGCCCACCAAGCTGGCTTCGGCCGGCCTGCTGTCGAGCGCATTGTAACCCTGTAACAAAAGAAGGTTACGCCTCGCACCCACCCACTTATGCCTCACCTCTGATGGCGCATCTATTGTAGGCATGCTCGCAGCTTCGTCAGTTTCTAGTACTTCTTTCCAGGGGCCGCAGACTACTACTACCTGCTGCGAGGTGACTTTTGAGTCGACTCAAAAGTCAGGGGCCGCAAACTACTACTACCTGCTGCGAGGTGACTTTTGAGTCGACTCAAAAGTCAGGGGCCGCAAACTACTACTACCTGCTGCGCAGTTCAAATTAAAGAATACTCAAACACTATGTCAGTCCATCCATGTTCTCCCCATGTCCAGAAACTTTCACCCCATGTTTTCCCCGATGCTCTCACTCACATGCTCTCAAAATCGGAGTATTCTCCCCTGATGTCGTAAAAATCAACCGGGTGAGCAGATGCGCCAGCTAGCTCCGCACCCACACTCCCTGCCACCGCTCGTCTCTCCGACTTTGGCAGTTTCTTCCGCCTGAATCTGCTCGGAACCTTCTCGTCCCCATCCTTGCGCTCCGCTGCAAAGGCCTGGAAGAATTGGGCATGGGTGGGAAGAGGTGGGAGAGGGGGAAGAGGAGGGGGGGGGGTGGGGGGGGGGGGGTGGGGGAGGGAAGAGGGAGGGGCATTCATCGTTTCATACCCCCCACACAGTGATCTCTTCATCCCAATCCGGGGTGAATGTATGAACCTTCAAGAATTATGCTGTACGAATGCGCGTTTGACCATATTCACCATCCGCATCACCTCAATCACACCGGGACGATTATATACTTGTATCCTTCTTTGGGTTCACTCAATTCACGTTACAGGACGCACCTTCCAGAATTTCTCGGTCCGTTTGCTTGCTCGGAGTATTTCCTCGTCTTCATCGCTTCCGTAGTACTTGGTCAAATACTCTTCCATGAGCGGATCTTCGCTATTAGGACTATCTTTCTCTGTTGTCTGACGTGAGGCAGGCGTGCGAGAGTTTATCTGAAAGGCAGGAATAAGACTAACGAGGATCGGATTACGACATTAAAGAAATTTCGAGATCATTGTTTACAGGTGGTAACAGCACGGGAGGAGCGGGCTGTACCTGCGCTACGGGCTCTCTGTTGACAGGGGTCACGCCCTTGAGAACTGAAAACGGCGAACTCGCCGCGTTAGTCTTCTCTATACCATCGTTTCTTCCGTTATTCGTGCTCAGCGTGGGGTCGCCTCCGAAATGAGAGCCATGATGTTTCTGTGAGCCGTTTTTCTGCTTCCGCGAACCAGCTCGAACTTGAAAACTATGACCACTAGAGAGTGGTTGTCGGGAACGACAGTGACTCTTATGCGCGTGTCGAACGTCCTTCAAACGAAGGAAATCCTGCCTGCCGTGCAGTTCGGGGAGGGCCCTGAGACCCATGAGTGAGTGGGAACTGACCCTTTAAGCTTGAATAGCTACTAACTAGCTTGAATATATACTCGAAATCTTCTGTTTGTTAGCAACCGCTGAGGATGATGCAAGCTACGAATTCGTAGTCAGTAGTTAATGTTAACAGGATGATGAAAGCTACGGATTGTCGTAGTCAGCAGTAATCCGAAAGTGACGAGGAAAAGCGGGCGTGGAAGCTCGTATTATGACTCATCATAGTACAGTACGACTAGGCATTAGATAGGATGGTCACACGTCAATTAAATATTGTCTGCAAATTAGCACCTCATAAGGCCATGGCTGACAGTGATCAGAGCAGAGTTGGTTGAAAACGATGTGTATGAACTTCTGTAGTCGCCGCCATTGTTGTCATTTCAAACATCAACTGCCATTTTTCACATGCACGAATCAGGCCATTCCGTACTTTTATTATTTTAAACCCTCCCCAACCGCTCTAAATCTAGAGATACCGTATTGCAGCGCAAAACAACTTGCTGAAATTGCTCGGGTGAATGACAGTCGGAACCAATACGCTGGTGTTTCTGTTGCTCCCCCAAACCAGCCCACCCGCAGCAGAAGACTGACTGGCGGGAGAATCAACTTCCAACTGGTACATGACTGGTGGAGCTTTGAAACCTCCACCTCCGATTTGGGAATGCGGCCAATGCATCGCGAGATTGAACAGCAACATCGAGGTGATGGTGACACGGACAGGTGCCTGATTGGATCACGTGGCGACACTTGGGACCACCAGATGATTATACTTTCTATTAGTCGATCCATGTTACCGTAGCTGCATGTCCTTCTTTCCTACGATACACTATTGATGACGAAAAGGTGAGTTGGTTGTTGGTTGCTTTTTTTGTAGACTTGTAACAGGATTAGCGCGAAAGTGGAAATGGCAAAAGCTGACTGACACGGTTCAGTTCTGACGATCATGTAAATTCGTCGGTGCTCATCGGGTGGCTGTTAGTGGCACCAAAACCGCAAGCGAAAGTTTCCTTTCGCCAACCACGGCAAGGCTGCTTGCTTGCACTTGTGGATTCAGACCGCGTTTTGAAGAAACTGAAAATGCTCGTGTCACTATGTGAAACCACCGTACGAGCCCTAATTCGTCAGGAGGTTATAAAAATCGAGTGCCGTGCTTCTGGCGTTTCGATTATCGTAAACACGGCCTTGAAGTTCCTGTCAAAGATCAGCTGTTTAGGGCTCACTGTAGATAGTTCAGAATTCGTTCCTTTTTAGGATCTCCGCAGAAAGTGCCGCCGGACCCGAGAAAAACAAGGCACATATGTGCGTTCTGTGGCGTATCTAGAAATCCCAAAGCCGTGGTAGTTGATCCACTTCTCGGTTTAGCTTTAACTGTATTTCCACGGCAGGAGCGGTATTGTTACCACTAGAGGCGACTCGCTTTACTCGTAGTGAACGCGGCCCGTATCTTCGACTGCGATCATCGCGGCTGATCGGACGTTGAAAACACCTTCTAGTTTTCAATGCCACACAGTATTTGCTATATGAGGGCACGTACTAAAATGTTAAGCTCTCGGCGGCCGCTGTGAGTTGACCGTTAAACACGGAGGCACGGGCCACCTCCACACCCCTGTCCCCTTCGACGTCCTGAATTTATCGCAGCGGCCACTGTAGATTTACCGTTAACGCGGCCCCGCTCTGAGTTAACCGTAACACGCGGCTCGGCGGCGCCATGGAAGCGATTTCGTCATGTCATCGATGCGGCCGATTAGGTCATCTATCCAGGGATTGTAACATCAAGACGTGTTTCAAATGCAATGGGTACGTACTTATAACGGGTACGGCGTCATTCTACTAATCTCCCTACCGCACCCCACTTTCTAGTACGCCTCCCACTCTCTTGTCATCGCCATTCCTTCATCGCCGTTTCGTTGCGTCTCCGTTTCACATTCCCTGCACCTCCGTCTCTCATACCCACTCTCATCCCTCTTTCGTCCCTCTCTCTTGCTCATCCCCTCTCTCATTCTCTCCCTCTTGTCCCCGTCTTATCCCTGCTCACATCCCCCATACCGTCTTACGCACTCTTCTCTACGCTCCTCTTGCCATGCATGCTGCATATGTGGGCGGGGGGGGGGGGGGGGGGGGGGGGGGGTGTATAGCCAGGGACACATGGCGTGGGAATGCACAAGTTCAATAATAAGCAATCAACCTTTTCCTCTCCATCTCTCTCTCTTATTCCCCTTTGCTACACCTTTTTCTCATTACGCTCTCCTGTTGTGCACATATCCTCGTGCACGTGGTGGGTGGGGGGAGTAGCCGCGGGCACATGGCGTGGGAATGGACAAGTTTAATGACGAACGATCAACCCTTCCTTTCTCTCATCCCTCTCTGCTGCAACTTTTCTCCACTCTCTCTCTCTTCTTTCTTGTGCACCTCTTGCCGTGCACGTGGTGGGTGGGGGGAGTAGCCGCGGGCACATGGCGTGGGAATGGACAAGTTTAATGACGAACGATCAACCCTTCCTTTCTCTCATCCCTCTCTGCTGCAACTTTTCTCCACTCTCTCTCTCTTCTTTCTTGTGCACCTCTTGCCGTGCACGTGGTGGGTGGGGGGAGTAGCCGCGGGCACATGGCGTGGGAATGGACAAGTTTAATGACGAACGATCAACCCTTCCTTTCTCTCATCCCTCTCTGCTGCAACTTTTCTCCACTCTCTCTCTCTTCTTTCTTGTGCACCTCTTGCCGTGCACGTGGTGGGTGGGGGGAGTAGCCGTGGGCACATGGCGTGGGAATGCACAGCAGGCGTCACCTGCAGCATCTGCGGGCAGACGGGCCACCTCCAACGCAACTGCCGCAACGTCTCCTGTCACAAGTACGTGCCCCTATCCCCTGGGTATAAATGTACCTTCAGCAGTTGCTGCACCTGCAGCATCTGCGGGCAGACGGGTCATCTTCAGCGCAACTGCCGCAACGTCTCCTGTCACAAGTACGTTTTCTTATTCATTGCATCTGCAGTGCGACGTAATCCGCAAGGTGTTTTTGACAATTCTCAAAGACTCCTTGACTCGAAAGTCACTTGCAGCATCTGCGTGCCACCTTCAGCGAAACTGCCGCAACGTCTCCTGCCACAAGTACGTGTCCCCCCTCCTCCACCCCTCCCCTCCTTACCCCGCTCTCCACACTCCCTCTCCCCATCCCCCTCCCCCCCTTCTCCCTTCCACCGTTACCTACCTCTGCTGGAGCACAAAGTATGAGGTACAGGAACATTGAAGTCGTCTAGTGACTCAATTACCAGAGTGTATTTTAGTCTGACTCTCCACCAAACCTCCACCCAAACCCCTGCTGCCACCCCTGCCACCCACCGTCCCTGCCCCCGCTCTCACCCCAGCCCTAACCCTAAGATTTTGTCAACCTTCAACTCAAAATCTCCCACCCCTGCTGTTGCCCTGCTCTCTCCCATCCCCGCCCCTGCCCCCCTGCTCGTCTGCCTTTAACACCTCCACCAGGTGTGGTCACAAGGGCCATATCTCCAAATTCTGCAACGACCCATTTGCGAGGGTGGTCTGATCGTGCACCAAACAATCGTCCTCTCTCCATTGCCCCCACCCTGCCCCCGCCACTACACCCCTTTTTCCACCTCTCGTTGTCTCTCCCACTTCACCAGGTGTGGTCGCAAGGGCCATATCTCCAAATTCTGCAACGACCCATTTGCCAGGGTAAGACTGAGAAATCCAGGTAAGGGTAAGGCATGGAGTGAGGCTGAACAGTTAAGGAAGGCAGGGTGCTTGCCCTATTCGCATGGCCGATGGTGCATGCGTGAGTGTTTTTCTTCTTTATTGATTTCTTTCTTCCTTTCTTTCGTTCTTTCTTTCTTTCTTTCTTTCTTTCTTTCTTTCTTTCTTTCTTTCTTTCTTTCTTTCTTTCTTTCTTTCTTTCTTTCTTTTCTTTCTTTCTTTCTTTCTTTCTTTCTTTCTTTCTTTCTTTCTTTCTTTCTTTCTTTCTTTCTTTCTTCCTTCCTTCCTTCCTTCCTTCCTTCCTTTCTTTCTTTCTTTCTTTCTTTCTTTCTTTCTTTCTTTCTTTCTTTCTTTCTTTCTTTCTTTCCTTCTTTCTTTCCTTCTTTCTTTCATGGAGTCATTTTCACATGGCATCACTTGCTTGCACGAGTGACGTTTCTTCTGCGCAAACACAAGGGCAAGCACACTGGACAGCACACAGGGCGGCTCAAACTCAGAGGCAGATGACAAAGGGTTTGTTTGACTCATGCCTTGCGTCGCGCCGTCGCCTGTTTCTATGACTCCACTTGTCTTCTATCATCCACACAGGGAGCAGAGGCTGAGCGCATGGAGAGGGCAGCAGGCGATCATGTCTGCAAGGGCGGCTCAGACTCAGTTGCAGATGGCAAAGGGTTTGTTTATTCCATGCCTTGCATCGCCTGTTTCTGTGACTCCCTTGCCTATCCCTTCGTTCTTCCCACAGGCAGCCGAGGCTGAGCGCATGGAGAGGCAGCAGGCAATCATGTCTGCAAGGGCGGCTCAAACTCAGAGGCACGTGGCGCGGCGATCCGTCATTCATGCCACGCCACACGCCCCTGGTAAGTAGCTGCTTCAGTCTCGGTAAGCTGTAAGGCAAGCAGGCATTCCTGTCAGCAAGGCTATCATGTCTGCGAGGGCGGCTCAGACTCAGAGACATGTGGCACGGCGATTCGTCATCCGCGCCACGCCACACGCCCCTGGTAAGTAGCTGCCACAGGCATAATCAAGTAGCAGTAGAGCCCAGCAGGCAAACATGTCTGCGTGGGCGGCACAGGCTCAGAGGCACGTGGCCCGGCGATCCATCCGTCATCCATGCCACGCCACATGCCCCTGGTAAGCTGTGTGCTTGGGCGTCTCAGGCTGCAATAGCATCTCAGGCTGCAAGGGCTGCTCAGACTAAGAGACACGTTCTTCTTCTGAGGCGCCTCAAAAACCACCTCAATGCACGCAGACTCAGAGACACATGACTCTTTGCTAAAGCTGTTGTCGTGGTTCTCGGATTCCCTGCCCCCACTTGGCCATCTTCTCTCTCTGCCTCTCTTCTTTTTGTCCGTCCGCCCTTTCATTCACCAGGCAAAGGCATGACCACAGCATGGGACGGGCTGGGTCGATCCGTGCCACACACCCCTCCCGTCTTGATTCTCAAATCGCCACCCGCTGCTAGAGCTGCTGTCAAGGGAGCTGCTGCTGCGTCTTCTGGTCTTAGCTCCACTCCTGCTCTTCCTGCTTCTCGTTCTGTTGGTGCTGCTGGTGTTGCTGGTTCTGCCGGTGGTGGAGGTGTGGGTGCGACAGCAGTTGGCGATAAGAGGAAGGTGGAGGAGTTGGAGGATGTGGAGAGCGGTGGGCTGAGAGGGTTGCTGGCGTATGGCTCTGATGACAGTGATGAGGATGATGCAAGGGAGGATACAAGGGAGGATGCAAAGGGGGAGGAGGAGCGAAGGGATGTGGAGGAAGGAGGGGAGGAGGAGGAGAGAAGGGGGGTGGAGGTAAGAAGGGAGGAGGATGCAAGGGATATGGAGGAAAGAAGGCAGTCGGAGGAAGGAAAGGAGGTGGATGAAGCAAGAAAAGTGGAGGAACGTGATGAGAGGCTAAGGAATGCTAATGGTGCTGCTGGTGCTGCTGATGCTGATGCTCCTGGTGGTGCTGCTGCTGATGATCGAGGTGGTGCTTCTACTGCTGCTCCTGGTGGTGCTGCTGATGGTAAAACGGCTGGCACTGGTTCTGTTGGTGGTGGGGATTGTGATGGTGATGCTGGTGGTGGTGACAATAAATTGCAGTGATCCTGGGCTGGTGTTCCTGTTCATGCCGAATCTGTATTGATGGTTAACTAGTACTGCAACTAAAGAGGAAAACCAGGCTTACCGTAATCGCAAAAAGTATCATGCAAATTGAAAGAGTGGTGTTTTGGGGATGTTTTCCCACAATTTCATTGTTAAGCTGATTTTGGCCTGGGCTTTGCGATAAAGGTTGTGATATAACATATGTTGTCACCAGTCGCAAACAAACAGAAAAGAAGAATGGAGCCCGAAGCAAGACCCTCCTCCCTTGACCTTTTGAACAGTCGATATACGGTAGTCGTAGCAATGCTGGACTGTGTTTGCATTGAGTTGGTTGGAAAGGCCATGACACACGAGTGGGGAAAGGAGGGAGACAGGACCCAGATCCAGAGGCATGTAGAAAGTCAGCTGAATAGATGTGGTACCGTATAGTTCCGGCTAGAAGACCCGGGGGACTCTCTACAAATGCTGGAAATTGTGCTTGGGTGGACATTATGGCGGCAGCAATTTTTTAAGACCCGGGGTAACCTATTTATCAATGATCAATCTGATATTTAGGGTGTACGACTCAATTTGGGGTGGGGGGGCCTTATGTTCGTAACGAATTCGCGCATATTTCGCGCGTGCGGCGCGTCAGATTTGTGTCAGAATTTCAGTCTGACACAAATGAAGTGTCAGAGTTCGAGTCTGACACAAAAAGCGTGTCAGAATTCGAATTTATACCAGTAAAAGCTGACGCACTATAGCAATTATATCTACTGTATACAGAAAAGGGGGGATGATTAGAGTCCTCACAAAATCGGCCACAATAAGAGTCCCCCTACCTAATCAAGAGTCCCGGGGGACCTTCTTACCGGCGGGTCTTCTAGCCGGAACTATACGGTACCATTTTCAGAGAAGCAGGAATGATGCAACGAAAGTGATACCGTCATACCCCGGATAGAAGCGCCCCTTGGGTTGTAATAAAACACTGTTTTTTAGGGGGTGCGCTTATAATTGAGGAAATTTATAAGCGCCGGCGTCTATAAAATGGCAAAAATGAATTTCTATTTGTTTTACACCAAACTGTAGATCCCGTTCTGCCAATTCTAATCGAGTCAAAAACATATAGGGTCGCGAATCTAATTCTCGCGCAGCTTGGCAGTGAGTGATTCCCTGCCAACTCATACTGACAGAATGACAGCACATGCTGACTAGACGCGCAAAAAGTGAGATCAGAGTGTGGGAAATCGAAATTGTAGTTCGTTTCCCTGATAATGTGAAATTCGTTCCTGTATTTCGACAGGTTTTCAAATGAAAAAACAATATGCGCTTATAATAAATCATCTTTTTCGTCAGGGGGTGGGCTTATAATCGAGGACCGGATATAAGCGCCGTCATCTCTTTATAAGCGCCGGCGCTTATCCGAGGCCTGCGCTTCTATCCGGGGTATGACGGTACGATAGGTAGGGCTTTGCAATCTGTGACTCGAAGTCCGTGGAACATCCCGAACCATCACGGTGAGAAACACCATATTGTTCGGTCTTCTTAGAGTTACTAATCCAATCAATTTTCACGTTATTGTTCGTGTACATTGGCATGGCAACGTCATGCAATGTAGTAGCACGACTATATTACTACAGCGACTGCATTTGAGAACACTCCAACCATCTTATTGCAAAATGCAGCCACACGGAGAAACAAGATGAGTGAGTTGGAACGATGCAGCGGATAGCTTCTTTGTTTGCCAGCATCTCTCGACCCTTCATCTTCATACTCAATACAACCTTGAAGGTACATATTTGCTTGGAATGGCAGAGCCTTTTATGTGCAAACCAAGCTTACTTAAGGGTGTTTGCACAGTTGAATATTCACTCCCATGAGGGAAAGTTTGTTTCGTCAACCAAATCGATGTCAACAATCATATAAGTCGAATGGGTATTGTTGAATTAAGTGGTGTGACTTTATTCTCACCCTCGCTCAAAAAAATAAGATGAATGGATGCATGCCCAACAAAAGTGAAAGCGCTTATTGCTAGACATACCTGTCAGTAGAGCTGCACTGTGAGATCCCCGATCGATCCTAGGGGGGGTTACAGGCGCGTTTGCCTGGGGGGTTATGGGCGCACTGACCCGCTACTGAAATAAGCCCTTTTATCCCAATGGTCTAGTGGTTGGGATTCTGACATGGTATCAGAGCGGTCTCGGGTTCGAATCCCGGTGTATGCACATGTAGGCCGTTGCCACTGTGCTCAGTCCTGGGCCTCCCAGTGTGGGGGGGTGTCAGTAGAGCTGCACTGTGAGATCCCCGATCGATCCTAGGGGGGGTTACAGGCGCGTTTGCCTGGGGGGTTATGGGCGCACTGACCCGCTACTGAAACAAGCCCTTTTATCCCAATGGTCTAGTGGTTGGGATTCTGACAATACCAGGCACGAAATGTTGGTTCTCATTGTGAATGATGGGGAGCCAGCAAGGAGTGCATCAAGGGTAGTATATGTTTGTAAAAACAGCATATGGATGCCCTTGAAATGGATGACTGATGCAACTGGAAGTCTGTTTACCACCCTTTTTCTTGCTCCCTTGCCTTGACAAAACCCGAATGCGCAAAAATTCCCTACACGTCTAGTTTTGATTCGTAGGTGATTGCATTCGAATTTAGAATCCTAATTCCATTCCATTGTTTTTTGTCATTTTCACATTTCCCTCATGGTACCGTATCCGCCCGAACGCTAAGCCCCTCCCCCCTCGTTTTCCCTCCCAGATTAAAGTATCCGAGTTCAATTCCATGGGGAGAAAAATGGGGTCTTGTGAATCAACACCGATTACTAAACTACCTAGGCAAACGGATTTAGAATAGCCCGTCAGTTCTAACTTATGGCTCTCTCTCACAAGTTGGAAGAAAATGTATGTAAATGTTATCCTCAACACACTTTTCTTCAACAATACATCCATTGGGGCCGGTTCCGTGTAAGGTAGGAACCAAACCTTGTGAAATTACACCTTAATTCAAACCTTTCTTCCAACTAGATGTTCTGAATTGCTTCCGAAGGTTAGTGAATGCACGTAATCACGTGAGACTATTTTGACAGGTGTTGGAATGAAGAGGACAAGTACGGTAGTTGGCTAAAAAAAAAAAGTTCAATAGAAACTGTGAGAGTACGACGGCTTATGTTGGCTTTGCTAGCTTGCCTGAACTTTACCATGCTATTACTAGCTTGTGTTTTATTTATCATGCATAGATATGCTTGATTTCCTAGGTTAGGTGCATTCCTATATGTTATTATAGTTATAGCACCGAACCAGGTTACGTGTACCGAACTCAAGCCCATTCGGTTTCCACCGAATTGCTTTCTACTGAGTTCGGGAAGGTTCTGTTCGGGACGCTTCGCGACCCTCATAACATTCGCGTAACACCTGGGTTACCTGCCTTGTGTCGAGCCTATATATAGTCTCGTGTTGTACCCAGGTGAATCATTGAATTACAATTCTCTTTTCTGAGCTCGATCCTAGATCCTCACAGAAACAGACTTCACTAAAAACAGGGACATGCAATGATTTCTCTCATCTCGAAGTGGAAAAAGGGTATGAAAATATTGTGTTGGGTTCAAGACTTCCCCCACATTAGGTGAATAACGGCATTGAACTCCTTGGATTTACCATCCGGGTGGATATGATACTCCCTCTCTGTTGGCATGCCCACAAGCAAAGTATTCCAACACGTGTCCATGGCGTGCCACCAAGAGGAGAGGAACCAGGCAGAGGAAGGAAAATCAAATCTCTCGAGTGATTGACACAATCTAGGAGGCGCCAACCCTAAACTTTGAACCTTAAACCCCCAAGTTTACATAAGGTATAACACAAATCTTGATGTGCCGAAGGGAACCCATCACACAATTCAAACGAAACCGTGTCTTAAGCATGAATCAAATTAATAGCATCCACCCCACCACAAACCGCACTTACCCACACAGCACCTTTTGTTATATATTCATCGCAGTGTGAAACATCGAATATTAGGATTGGCGACAGCCAATCACATCAGTTCAATCCGAACATTTGAGGTTTGAAATAGTTCTGTATCGGCCCGATCTCTTTCCCTAGTCGCAACACCGTTTCTAGCTGGGTCGAGGTTCACTATTATACATTTCGGTTTTACAGCTAGGAGAGGTAGACACAAGAAAGAAGTTTAATTAGAAGAGAAGGGGTACAAGATATTAAATCCGGAGGCATGTAAGTAATGAACTTGGTTCCCCATAGGAGGGAAGAAAGGAAGGGGCTGCTAAAGGCTCACATGCTCTCCAGGGCCTACGTTATCAGAAATTTGTTGTCTGTTTGTCTGGATTCTAGACACGTTTTTTAGGGCTCATCTGATGGCCTAGACATGTTCCTTAAAGCTGCGGTCTACATACTAAGTTGCGTTTTTTTGGGTATTGTCGATGCACACCCTTTCACGCAGCCTGATTGGAAAGCGAATTCAACTCGTTTCTGAAACACAGGAGCGATGAAGTCACGCAAGCACGCGAATCCAACCCATTTTCGTGGGTTGGGGAAGAGTCTGCGGAAGGGCGGAAACCACTTGGGGAGTTCGATATCGGGAAAGGGACCCCCACCCCCCTCTCTCCACCCCCCTCAACCGTTCTATTTGCAGGCTAAGGGGCCGAGAGAAAAACCTGGTCACCTGGTTTTCAAGTGATAAACCAGACCCCCCCGCTCGAAGTATGTAGATCGCAGCTTTAAACTAATCTGATTTTTTAGACAAGGCTTTTATATTCATCTGATTTTTTAAACATCCTTATACGTTTCGTCTGAGACTGCAGAGATCGAGTCATTTCTCGTCTGATACCGACAAATTCCCCCACCTGGCCAGTTGCCCACCTGGCTAGTTGCCCACATGCCCCGTTGCCCAAAAATCCCGACGAGTCTTGCCACCCGCCGCGTTACCATGCTGCCACCGCCAGGCTGTACGCTGCCTCTGGTCGGTGACAACACCAAGATCAACAAGCCTCCCTAGGGGTTCGTCATCC